TATTGTGACAAATTATTTTGCTACTACTTTTTTTTTTTTTTTTTGATAATACATAATTCAAATATTTGATTCTAAAAATATATAATTGATCTGAAATAAGTAACTTGACATTGGTTCTTGCACATTTATCCGTCATAGTTAGTTTTTCAGCGCCGTAATAATTAGAGAAAGAGAATAAAAAGCACCGAGCGAACTCTGCGTATCGACGAATTCACGTTACTTTTTTATTGCGCAAAGTTTTGTGGTATAGATAATCGAGAGCTATAAACAATTACATGCAATTAATGCAAGCATTATCGATTCGTTCTCGAACGACCGGATTATTTATACATAGAAATCAATGATAGAGCCATTCTCGACGATACGATACTAACTAGTCTATCTAGGACTTATTAAAATGAGTTATTGTATCACAGGAAACATGTTCAACGATGTTTATAAATTGGATCTTCTAAATTCTTCTTCGCATTTTCAGTCTCTTTAGAGTTATTCTTGTAATTGTATTGCGATAATCTATCACCATGCGAGTAATATAAATTGTGAAATTCTTCCACGAGGGACACTTTGCAATTAATAATAAAAATATGATGCACGATCACGTAATCTATAATTTTATATATACTTCTTGATCGAGCGAAATCTAATTTTTCTTCTTTTTTAACTCTTTTATCTGTTTTGTGTCCATGGAATGGGGATTACGATCCGTCCAATATTTTTGTTGCACTGTAATTTATGTACATCACTTGATTAATAAATATACTCGGTTACAGATTGTACTTGTCTTTATGCATAAGTATACTTGTCCTATTTTAAATATTTAAAATCGTTGGTTGAAGAATAAATTATTGTATTTGTAAATTCGTTAGTGCATTCGTTGCATTTGCTTAAAGTGTGCTTCTTAATGTGATCGTCTATTGAGAAAGTGTTTAGTGATTTTAATCTTCAAAAATGTTGGGGTAAGTTTGTTTAAATAGATGTCTTAATGTCTGTAAAATTAAGCATTTTAATACATACATTTTTGTATATACATATTTGCAACATATATAACATTGATTATTAATAATATTAATTATATTGCAGATGAATCTAACGAAGAAACGACGTCTATCGGTAGTAACAAAGTAACATTTGCAATTAAACCTGACATCAATGAAAAAATATCATCCATCAATGAAGATCAGAAATCAAAATCCAATAAAATGACAGAGGTAGTTGAAATTCACGCACCACCTCCGGACGTACGTGAAGAAATCGCGAAGGAAATGTCGTCATCATTAATATCAACAATTACTCCACCACCACCTCCACCGCCTCCTTTAGAGAGTCAGATATCTGTTTCTTCGAATAATTCATGCAAATCAGCTACATTGAAGAGTAATCATACAATTAGCGGTAATATACACTTTTATAATGCCCAAAGTTATTTGATGCATGATGTATTGTTGTTTTTAGGGCTGAAAACCGAGAAAGAAGTGCAAGAGGAACTGAAACAAGTATTAATGATATTTCGTGAGAAGAAAGAGTATTATGGCAAGAGTATAGATCGTGAGCCTGTCTTGGATCAATATTCCACTCCTAGAGAAGTGCAAAAATGGCTTACATTTAAAGGATATTCAGAAAAGTATTTCTTAAATTCAAAAAAAAAATTTAATTTGAAAATTTTTAAATTTAAATTTAAATTTGTTTTTCAGAATTTGTAAACAATTAAGAGATATGGCTGGTTCAGAAGTATTTGATTTAACAAAAAGACAATTGGAACAGTATTGTGGTATCGCGGAAGGTGCCAAACTTTTCAATCAAATTTTATTAGCACGAAATGAAAACAAGGTAAATAACAAAAATGAAATATTTTAAGCATAGAATTTTAATTTTCTTATTTTTTCTTATTTATAGACGAAGAGTTCTCGAACATCGGAATTGAAACAAATATTAGAAAAAGCTAGACACAAACAATGAAGCATTTTCTATCAAATACTCTATAAATATATAATAAGAATTATACATATCTTTCAAGTGTATGTAGTAACAAACATATACATCAAGAAATTTAATATCAAATTGCATTTATTATCGAATAATAATCATATTACTATTTTCTTTTATGAAACTCTGTGATTAGTTTGTAAATTAAGAGCAATATATTTAACACTATATCTACTATATCTATAGATAAATATATTTACAAACTAAATACTTAAATGAGATTTTTCAATTATTATTTTTTTTTATATAATAATATATTATAAAAATATATATTATAAATATTTCTGTTATAATAGCAATAAGAGAATGCGTTTTAAATATTGTGAAAAATACTTATTACTAAATAACGAAGTGATATTTTCATAAAAAAGTCGTTAATAGAAAGTCAAAAATATTCGTTTAATATTGATGTCAAATTTTTATTTCAAGCGATCACATACATTGTAACAGACATAAATAGGTACTCTAGCTGTATCATTTATTATATTGATAAACTATACATTTCTTTCGAATACTCGACTCGAAGTCACACAATGTGAACACATTGATAATTATATTTTTATAGAGATAAATCTGTTATAAAGCCCTTGCATATTTATCATTTAAATAATTCTCATACAAAACTTTTATATTGGCAAATGGAATACAACGATACACGTACTGAATACCGTAATATAAAACCTTTAATACAACGAATGTAACATGCACAATAACAATGTTAAGTCTTAATAAATGTTAATAGTCTAAAAACTGTAAAAACAAATGGAGACAACACTTTTCCATTAAACCATATAATAATTGAACAAGGTCAAATCGTTTCTCGATTAATCAGGTTTCAAACAGTCTTATATAATCACATATATTCAATTATGTAATTATTACTAGAAAACAACAATATATCTTGAGAAAAAGCTTCATAATAGAATTGTTTTTAATAAAATAATTATAAATTATTTCAAAATATATGAACTGTGTTGCTTTCTATGATTCTTAATAACTTATTGTAACTGATTCTATGCATGTGTAGAAACTTTTAGAAATGTTTCAATACAAAATCTACATTAAAAAACTCTTAGACATATTTTTCTAAATGCGATCTAAAAATGTCTCGTTCTAAAAATGTTATTCGCGACAGTTATTCGCGACAGTTTTGCAATTATAACTTACAATGGTAACCAAAGTTTTTGGTCGTTTACGAGTAGCTCAGATAAGCCTTATAATTGTAAAATTTCAAATTCATTCATTTTACACAATAATAATTACGTAATAAATATTTATTATGCGATAATTACTGTTTAGTATCATTTATTCTTAACATTATTATTATTATTAAGATTATTATCATTAATTTTACTTTCGTAGACGCATGTGTCTTAAGGATTTAATAAAATCAACAATAGATATTTTTTCAATGACAAAATTAAAAAAAAAAGATTAATAATTTTCATAACACGTTAAAAATCGGAATGTAGGGTTCATGCTATTAAGGAAGTAAAAAAAATTTTTTTGTTCACACAATATAAGACTTGAATAATTAAATTAAATAATACTCAGTGAAATTTCCACATGAAATTTTATAAATTTTGAAAATCATAAGCAAACAAATATGCATTCTTATCAAATACATCAAATACATCATTACGTCTTCCTTTTGGTATAACGTTGTTAATTTATAAATTTAGCATCCTTGACTATGTTATCTATTTATGAATTTGTGCGTATTTCAATTTAATTTTTATAAGCTATCATTGTTGAACTTTATCATTTCTCCATTTAAATTTTGTAAATTTTAAAAAATGTCAACATTTTTAGAGCAGAAGAATTCCGCTCCATATCTTTGGAATAAAAATTTTAATGCCAAATATTTGATTCTAAGATACATCTGTTTCCATATTATCGCGATTTTTATCATTTGAACTATTTTAAACCCGCAAATTCTATGACAGTAAAAATACAGTGAAAAGATAAAAAAAATTATCTGTTTTTCATTCGGTTGCAATTATTCGGTTCAACTTACTGTTAGATTGTTTTATATGATAATTAAGTTATCAATTTCTAATAAATATTCAAACATAACTGTATATAATTTATAATACAATTATTTTAATCCTTTGCGAAAGAACAACTGTTTAAATTCTTTGAATCGTTAAATTAAGGATAATATAATATTTACAATCATTATAATTAATAATATAATTAACCGAAACGTAACATTAAACTGTGATAGAAAATAGAACAATTATTGTATTGGGCTGATTTCTTAAAATTAATGGTACAGTGTTTGATTCTAGGACTAACGATAGTGTATAAAATATATAATATAATATAATATACCCGTGAGATAATTGCATGCCAGATAAACCTTGATCGAGAGCGAAAACATTTTTATATGTAATATGTACACCGGGCATATAATGTTTACGTTATTGTATAATGTCAATGATGAAATTGATGATGATCACTGTACACCGGTGTTATATAAATTATTAAAAATATGATACGAAACCAAAGTTAATAATAACTGATTAATGAATGTTAAACATGTACAACTTATAATTGGCGACTAATAATCGTTCATTAATAATGATCGATTTAATAATAAACATTATTAAATATCTAAGTTATTTTGAAAATGATTTTGAATATTACAGATGCGAATACGTTTTTGGAGTAATATAGTTACGCAATAAATAACTTGCTCATAAGCTTGACCTTGGAATTATCAGAAATACGTATATCAAATATTTTTTACGACTTTACAAAACATAAATTTATTTTTTTGATTATCTTCACAAAAGAAATAAATAATTTTTCTATTAAATATAGACATAATATCCACGTCAAAATTAATACGTAATTCTGTTATTCCATATATGTAATACATAATAAAACAATATACTATACAAATAAACGATATAAGTTTGCAACAGTCGATTAAGGTGTTCATTAAGAACGATAACATAAACCTTTGATCGGCTAGAAACTTAACAAACATATCTATTGCACGAAAGATAAAGTCAAATGCGGATCATCAACCGCGTAAATGATCCAAGGTCAAAGAATGAAGCATACGTACATAGAGAGCGGGCAATGAAGCGATAATGAAGCTAAAAATAGTGTGATACGTGAAAATACGAACATATATTCTACTGACCGGTGGCATCCGAATCCTCCTTTGATGGAACAGACCTTAATCGATTGAGAACATATCAATTGAAAACGAAACTTATCGATAATGATTGAATGAATAGCGAACCTGAAAGCGAGTTGATAGAAAACTGTCAAGAAAAATAAAATTGTGTTTTTTGTATACACGAATGAAAGAAAAATGATGAAAGAAGAAACATTTCGTCCTTATTTCCTCTGTAAAGAAAGATCCCTAAAGATATGCAAAGCAGATCTTGAAAAATCTGTCTTTCATAAATTACCAAAAACCTCCCGCACTACGACCACCAGGTGGATTGTTCACGCGGATACAAGCTCTTCTTGCTTCCTCGACATCCTCTGCGAACATACAATTTTTTCAATATTGCCTCTATTTTAAAAGAAAAAATTTTCTAATTACATACCACTGATAGAAAAAGTAGAGTCTTGCAAATTTCTCTGTCCTTCTAATCGTGGACCTTTCGATGATGGTGTAACCACAGCAGAATCAGGTAGTGTTGGCATACAATCGGGTACTGAAATCTTTGGTTTCGGACTTTCGTAAGTACCGTTTGTTTGATGACTCTTCGCGAGTGCTGCAGCTGCCGCTCTTGCTTCCTCCTTGGCCTTCGCGATAGCGGCATCCTCCTCGGCAAATTTCTTCGCCTCGGCTTCGGTTCGTGCTACACCGCGTGGTTTCTGAACAAATAATAATGATTCTAATTAAAGATGATAATTTTTAAATTACAAATGATTATTCATTATTCGTTAGAGATGAACGTTACGAAATATTAAGAGAAATATACCTTTTCTCTGTCTTCAATCATATCATATACATAAGTAGCATGGCTTGGAGTCTCGACGAACTTTCCGAATCCATGAACAGCTTTTAGTTCACACTCATCCACGCAAACACGACCTTCCACTATAACATACTCAGGTACCCCATGAACTTCCATACCCTGAAATAAAATTAGACAAAGTCAAACTTATTGGCAGAGAAAAAAGAATCATTTCGATCGAAACTAATGTATATAACGTAGCATGTACTACGAGCACTGATAAAATTTTCTTTATCGTTCACAACGATGTTGACTTGATTGAACTTCCTGTGGGTCAGGGTAAGATAAATAGAAAATATGTACCTCCTGCGACTCAATATCGAGGCAACAAAGGCTTTATTAAAGGCTTAATATTGGCCAGACCTTACCTCGAAGATGTTGAAGTCAACGGCCTGGACATGCGTTTGAGCGGAAATCGTACGCTTCCTGTTAGGGTCCCAAACAACTATATCAGCATCTGAGCCAACCGCTATCACTCCCTTTCGTGGATAAAGATTGAAGATCTTTGCAGCGTTGGTGCTGGTCACTGCCACGAACCTCGTAGGATCCATTATTCCAGCGTGCACCCCTTTCTCCCATACAACCGACATCCTATCTTCGACACCATTTACGCCATTGGGAATCTTCGAGAAATCATCCTTGCCTAGAGCCTTTTGTTCGGCGTTGAAGGTACAGTTATCGCTACCGGTAACTTGAAGACCGTCTCTGACGAAATAGAAAATCGTTGAAGCAGGTGGTTTATTAAAATTTTGAGAAATTGATATCTTAAAAAAGCAGAGATATAGCAGAAGAACAAAAGGATACCTTGACATCTGTTAAGCTAGAAGAATTTTATAATATGTAGCTATATGTATTATAATATTATATGATGTAATCGATTTATCGAGTAAAATTGAATGCTGACCGTAGAATGATCTTTAAACGAGTTTTCCTCTGCCCATTTAATTAAGTTTAATACCAGATGCGAGATAAAAATGACTTCCCACGCGGTGTCTATTAAAATTAAGTTCAGTTAGCCTTATATCATGCGTGCCAATTTGTTGCTGTAATTTATCATTGTCATTTGAATTCTTTACGCTTTCCAAACGCATACGAGTAACCCAACAGCGTGAAAATTGTTTTATCTCGTATGCTTATCCATTTACAGTTTTTCTGCATTAAGTTTCGTATAGAATAGAAATAAGTTAATTATCAACTCGAACGTAACGATACTTGAAAGGAGATAAGAACATAAGAAACTGTTGAATGAATCTTCACTTTGCTATATTTTTTATTTCATTAGTTGGTTTGTCGAAAAAAAAAAAACAAATAATCATCGATTAGATAAATCGTGCTTATATCGAAAAAAAATTATCTTCTTAAAGTTTATTTTAGATTCTCTACATTAGTAACTTACTAACGACTATCTTCTTAATTAAAGTGATCCAAGAGTTCAGATTTTTTTTTTTTTACTTACTGTGCTAAGTGTTCGATTAGATAGGCAGGTGTTGTAGAATCAGGTCTCAATGGTGGACTAGTAACGTAACGTCTGGCTTTTTCGATATCTTTCCCATATTGCTCGCTACCATCGATACCCACGGTACTTGCGAGAGTTTCTCCAAACAAGACAACACCCTCCGACTTTTTCGAGGATACAACATCAGCAGCAGATTTGCTCGACAATGCCGTTACGTACAGTGGGCAATTCACCTAAACGCGATATTATCTTGTCTCGTTTATCCTGGCATCGATTTTATTGATTATAAATGTGATCACAGCCGAAAAAAAAAAAAAAAGAAGGATTTTCTCTCGTTCATTCAAATTATGTTGGATTTATTATCTTTCAGAATAAAATACTATTATTTTCAGCCGTGTTCACGATATCATGACTAACTACAGTTTAGAGGTAACTACAAATTGAGCTACATTACTTTTATAATATCGAGGAAGAGAATCGTGCCAGCTGTACAACGATGATTTGAAATGTAAAAGAAATAGGGCAAAGGAAAAGTAATACCGAACTGCAGTTACGATCAGTGTGCATGCACGAGAATTTCGACGGAACATCTAAATATAATTTCTGATGCATGCAATATCGGGGAGCTATAATTATACTTTAATGCTTATCTATTGATATACTTTAATACTCTTTAATACTTATCAATTGTTGCAACAATTTGGAATAAATTAATAAAAATAATAGAAATTATTTTCGAAATTCCATATAAAATACTATAGATAAACCTCAATAGAGATTAGAGTATTCGGTATTCACGATAATACGTGACTTCATATATCTTGCAAATTCCAGATTTCTTAAGCTCCATGAGATTTCATGCATCCTCTTAAAAACTCAAAAATTAAAGAATATAAGAATATAATATAATTAAGAATATAAAAAAATATGAATTTCACAAAAAAGCTCTTTTATAAAGTTAAAATTATTTCTTTAAAATTTTAATGAGTTTAGAATGATCTTTATGCAATCTCATAGAATTTCTGTACGATTATAAATACTTTATACCTTTGTTGCAACGCTGAAATTAATTTATAATTAAATTAAAAAATATATATAAATTATCATTTCTAATTTTAATCTATATTTTTATGAACTAAAAAATAACGTGTAATTTTTTAATCATTTTTCGGTCAGCGAAATATCAGTGATATTTTTTCAAAGCTAAAAGTACTTATTAACAAAATTCATTTCTATTTCTATTTAACGTAAGCTATTTTTTTTTCATTCATTTGTAAAATAAAACATAAAAAAAACTACATATAATAATAATAATAATAATAATAATAATAATAATATCATGGCAACTCGACATATAGATACACTATTCTCTGGATGTCAAAGTCACCTTAATCAAAATTTATGGTGGCTTCGACTCACTTGGCCAACATATTCAACAATGCACGTGGTGTATCTGGGTCTGGTCTTAGAGGTGGACTCAAGACATGCGCTGCAGCGTGTTTCCAGCATTTGTGCGCGTAGTTGGTACCATCTGTGCCAATTGCAGCTGCCAAGGTTTCGCCGAAGATGCAATTGCCACGCTTACGCGCAGCATCCACCGCTTCTGCGGCGCTACGACTCATCACATGCACTACATATAGTGGACAATTGACCTAAGCATGCAGAATTTTGATCGATTTATGCTTTAGTGTCCTTAAAAATAATGAAACTTCCTTTCGTAAAAGTATAATGAATTGTTTTGAATTTTTAAGCTGAAACAAAACAATAAAGTATCTTCTTTTTTTAATAAGATCATATAAAAACTATTTATAATACTTCTTTATATCTTTTAACGATAAAGAAGATAATTACTTTGAACTGAATTAAAAGTATCATTCATTCCAAATTAAAACTATAATCACAGAAAGCGTATATCCATTAATAAGCAATTCTTCAAAGTACTATGATACATTGATTTATAAAGTAGCAGTGCTTGAAAAGATAAACACAAGCATACTTATAAATATGATCATCTATAAATCTTCTCCAGACTCGTTTTCCTTACCTGATTAGCTATAACACACGCTCTGTTCACAGCTTCTGCCTCTACTTCCTCAGGACGCGACATTTCGTGACCTTCGGGTCCCGTGACTCCAGCATCGAGCAATCGTTTCGTGTTCTAAAATAATTTCTACCTAAATTTCTCTGAAGATTTATGTAATATATATCGTAAATATATCTATGCGTCTATTTTCATCAGATGGAACACCAAACATGGTAGCAGTTGTTAAAACGTTCCAACATAACGTATCGCTCGCTTATTTCAAGGATAAATTATGTATAACGATCACGACATAAATCACGACGAGTCTCCTACCTCCGCAATAATGTCGCCATTTTCTGCATGAACCATAGCAATAGCACCGAGCTCCTTGCACGCTTTGAACGTCTCAATTAATTCTGGATCCCTGATCATATATAGATCACGATAGGCCATGAACATTTTGAAGCTATTGACACCGTGATCCTTCACCAACGTAGCCATTTCCTCTTTGACCTGCAATAAAGAAAAACTATGATAGCTTAGAACGGAATAAGAATTATTTCAAACGGATAAACAGTCTGACAAGCGTTAAACAAATAAGGAGTACATCGATTTGCATGCATCCGTACGCTATCCGATTGCGATTTCCTCACTCGATCGCTCGGTATTCCATTCACGATCGTGATTACAGTTACAAAGACGCTGTGGCAAAACAGCTGCAGTTCGTACCAGATTCGTACGATTTGCCAATTTGCCGCGAGATCGGTTTCACCATATTTAGGAACGGAGCGGAGTGGACTCGTCGCTCGATCTAGGCCGATGCTTTATGCTCGTTCCAAGTGTCTAAATCGTCTATTGAACGATGCTGAACAAAAATCGATTCGATAATTTTTCCGCTCGTTTCAACATCAATTTCAATTGACCACCGATTTGATCATTAGCATTTGATAAAAAGAACGATCGAAAGAGAGAGGGGAGCGTAACGCGTTCTCCTACTAATTCCCGATAGTCATCTGTGAATTACGTAAATTCTATTTGCGATCTGAATGCCAATTGTCAACACGCTATTTCATGATAATATAACATTACGTTTAATTTTATAAAACGACGGCGATAAAATTAAAAGAGACACGCAAGAAAGGGGTCGGTCGTGCTTTCTTTTCCAGGAAGGACTCGTATTACTGTAATTATCTCATTCTGGGTGACTAAATAGAATAGAGAATAGCGTGTGAACTGTATCATAGTGATGTAGTCATCGTTTCAGAACGCGACTGCAGAATCTTTCAGATCCATCGTTCTAACGTTTCCTTTATATTAACATTGAACGAAACTAGGAGGAAGAGATCTTTCTTCTTGGACGTTCGTCACGTTTGTTCGAAGGCTCACTTTTGGACTCCAGGACGTGATAGCGACGTGGAGCGAATAATCGCAGCAAACTTTCTGGTCGGCGCTCTCCCGGTACCTCTCGTACGCCTCTAAAATTGATTCGTCCTTCTTGGGGATGACAAAGTCGATGATCATCGTCGTACCACCGGCGACAGCTGCTTTCGTGCCCTGATAAAAATCGTCCACCGTCTTGGCGCCCATTAACTCCAATTCGAAATGGGTGTGCGGATCTATGCCACCGGGCATCACGTACTTTCCACGGGCGTCGATAATTCTCGTGCCACCTGGTATTATTAAATTACGACCCATTTGCCTGGAAATATAACGTTTCTTTATGTAATCGGAATGCAACGATGGAAATGAACGATTAAGCGCTCCTAAACCATTATTAGTACATACTGATGAACTATAAAATCATATATACAATCATTCATTAATTTTTTCTTTAAAAGGAAAAAGAGCAACAAAGTAATTAGACAATTTCCAATACAATTACACGGCTCTAGATAAATATTCAATATTAATAAAATTTTTTAAATCTTTTCCATAAGTTACATGTCACGCTTGTTTGACAAATTATACTATCATCGCGTTATCTTTTTATGCTGTTCATTGATAAAACGTTGTATCGCGTTTCGCTTGCGCAAAGTGGCGAATAAACACGCGAGCAGAATTTCGAATGAAACGTCGATCGTTCGTGTACATATATGTAAATCGAAAAATTTATTTGCTCGCAAACCCTAATTTATCATCACCTTTGACTCGTGCAACAATTATAGCAGAATAAATGCCACGTTGGAGATTGGATATTGGAGATGGACGATCGAAACTCGACAAATTCCACGCGAAAACGATTTCGCGTTTAATAAATTATACAACG